CGGCTGGGGAATGTGTACAGCGGCACTTTTCTATTCAGAGCCGCTGCTGTCCTCCCGCTGACTGACACTGCTGCGCTAGGAGGAGGCTGAGGAGCCTCTAACCTAGCGCAGCAGAAGGCACAAGGTGACCCACTCAACGGGGTTGCGACCCACTTTTGGGTCGCAACCCACAGGTTGAGAACCGCTGCTCTATAAGGTAATGATAAAAGGGACCCCAGAACAGGATGTACATTTTACTTAATTCTCCTCTGCAGCCAAAAGTCGCTTCCTGAGTAGCCCTGTTAGCATCTGCAAATCGAAGGGGGTAGACAAAAATTGTCAGTTGAACAGTGACTGCAGCTGATTAGTGTGTATACTGAATACAAGAGCCCAAGAGGAGTGGGGATTGCCCCATCCATGCTGTTTAGCTTGAATGGGGGAATCTGTTACGGCTTATGTCCAGCCAACTGCACATATTCTATTTGTAGTTTTGTATATATGGAGTACTTGTTCACTTTAAATTTTACAAACAGTATGGTACGTGTCTTACATTTGAAGCATACGTAATTGGTGTTTTTTTGCATATGGCAAACCGTAAGAAAGCTTGTCTTACTGGATGTGAAATAAAACATGAAGTATTTTGGGGATGGAAGGGGAGCTATGTTGTATACATTGTAAGCCCAGTCATGTCTTTTTTCCAATGCTTGTGTGCCACTGCTGTAAATTATGTTTTATTCCTGTATCTCATTGAGATGTGTTCATTTATTTACTGTATAGTGTATCTAATTAATACATTTTATGACATAATTTGCTTTAACAGAGCAGTAAGCGATTGCAAAGTGCTATGAATGCCATCACATACATTTTTGTGGCTGACTGCTTTTTTTAGTGCCATGTCTGTAGCTTGTCTTCTGAATGTTTGTTGCTTCTGCTGTAGAAATTTGCTTACTCTCCACTGCCTTCTGTTTGTGCTGCTTATTTCTTTTCTCTTAAAGACTCCAGCGCTTTCTCTCCTCCTCTTCCTCCTCCTATTGCTCCTCCTGGCCGCTCTGCCATTCCTCCTCCAAAACCCCGGCGCTCCAAAAAAGGTCTGTCTTCCCTTGTGCTGCACATTGTTCATTGTATGCTTTGCATAGCTGTTGATGTGCTTTTTACTGCAACACGGTGTATGTGAGGAAATTCAAGAAAATTTCATTAGAAATTTCAATTTCATTAGAAAGAATGTTTAATGGGTACAAAAATAGTGGTTATTCCAGTATGTAAAATGAGCAGTATATCTTTAAAGTAGAACTATGGTCAAACTATAAAATTCCATGCCCATGCCAGTAAGACTGGGCTCTCTGTTTTTGAAGTGCTAAAACATTTTGTATGTTATTTTCACGCTGGAACATTTTGTAAATACCTGTTGATCCTACCACTAAAACCATTGGTTAAGCACTTCCTCTGATGAGGTGACAACACATGTATTTCTACAGTAAACTCACTGCAACATTTTTCCCCTTGCTGCTTTAGAGCCCTACTGAACCCTGCCTACAGCCCTTTAGGTTGACAGTACATTGATCTCTTGATGTAAAAGCCCTGCTTAGCTTCTCAGCTATATTGACCATTAAAAAACACCTTTATCATGTCAGTGTGCCTTGAAAATGACTGTCATTCTGAGAAGAAAATAAAATGGAGGCTTTAAGTGGGTTAATGTATCAAACGTTTGGCCACCTGGTACAGTTTTTTCATATAGAACAGAAATGCAAAAAAATACCACAAGCTGTAATCTTTAATAGTAGCCCTAATGTGTTATTAAGCATTTTTGTATGCTATCAGGATAGTCATTGTTCATGGGGAAAAAACACAAGTCGCCAAGGAATGGGGATATTTTCAGTTAATTCTTCTTTTATCTTGCAAAACTGTGTGGTTTTGCTTTAATTAGAAGATGACCATTGGCTTTATTTAGTAAAGAGTTCTGTAGAAACCAGTCAGCAATTACTCCGTTGAAGTCAGACAAGTACAAGATAGATTCTGGTTGGTTGCAATGAAATGCTTTACTGCAAAAGGTGATATTACCATAGACTAGACTGTTGCATTCCTTTTGTTATGAATTAACTTTGTTCGGACATAAATTGTCAAATTCCAAAATTCTGATGCATCGGAAAAATAACGAATTCCAACGTATCCAAATTTTTGATAATGAAAATTCTGATGCATCCGAATTTTGTCCAAATGTCATTCGCAATGAAGTGATATGTTGTTAAAGGAGAATTATGGGGAGGATGAAATACACTCTCTTCCCCATAATAAGAGCCAATCTGTAAAACTGAATCTGTCTCTAGAGAGGCACTGTCAGCATAAAGCAGCTGAGTTTTGGGTCACATGAGGACATAGTATATGTCATCCTGTGATCCTTAAGAGAATCATGGCCAGAAAAGGTTGGCTCCTAATTCTCTTTTAAACGTGAAAATTGAAGAAATAAAAAACAGCATAGGAACCCCCCAAGTTCTTACGAGACCCTTTTAAGTTTGGTAGGAATTTTAGGGGGACCCCATGCGCAGCAGCCTGGCAGATCATGCAACCCCCATTCTCCATCATACCAGGCCACATGCCCTAAACATGGGCCAGGGAAGGTGATTGGGATTTGACGTGATTGACTATGGATTTACATCATGAGACTTTTTTTTTCTGCGGGGGGGTGGGGGGGGGAGGTTATATTAACAAAGGGCTTGTCAAAACCGTGTGATGTGTTGTTTTATTTATGATCTTAATGTTCATTTGGTGAATGAGTAGGGTTGGGGTAGTGTCACCCAGATTCAGATAAGCCCCTCTGCCCGCAGACCCCCGCAATCAACGGGCCAGGGTTGTGGTGAAGAGGCTCTTGTCCTCATTAACATGGGGAGCTTGGTATGGTGTGTGAAAAAAAGGGCATGGAGTCCCCCCTAAAATTCCTACCAAACCTAAAAAGTATTATGAATTTGGAGGGGAACCCCACGCTGCTTTTTTTCACATTTAACATAGTAAACTCCATCCAAATAGATTTGTATAGATCCAAATTCCCAAAAAAAAAACAACATTTTTGGACATGCACATGTCTATCATAACAGTGTGTTGCATTGAATGTGGGGGCTGCCACTGCCAACTTCCTTCAGAAAATTCCAGATGCCTGGCCATTATACTAACCCTATGGTATCATTAGTTTTGAATCATTGACCTGGAACAAGCATGCCCATTAGGATTGAAGTCAGATATCCTTAAGTTCCTGCTTTTTCAGTGTAAGAATCTCAAAGTATTGATGCAAGATGGTTACCATCACAGCCAGACAAGCTGCAGATAGAGAGATGAGCATTGGTAGCCTCCATGTTTCTTTCATGGCAAATTATATTAAGGAAAAAGTGATTTTAGTAGCAGCTACAGAAAAGCTGATTTTGTTGCTAAGAAACATTGGGTTACAGTCAATAAAGGTCAGTGTTACATTGTTTTCTTTGATTTGTAGCTTTGTCACTGAGTGACTAACATTTTGCCGCATTTAGAGCTGCCTATGCAGTTACTATAACACCTGCGTAGCCAGCTACAGATCTCCTGCTTCAGATCTCTGCTACAAAGTTGGCAACACCATGGAGAACTCTTTATTGAAGAAGATCGCATGTATCTATGGACACTCTGTGAAAATACTTCTTGGCCAACCAGTATCTGGGGGAGAATCAACCAGCCAGGTTGGATTTTTCTAGCCAGGTACTGCTGTTTGCCAGAAGAATGTCGGCATCACCGGCGGCTACAATTTTTTTCATATTAGTTTGTGCATAGCTCCCAACTTTTCCCCATTTGGAGGGACTGTTCCTCCTTTTGAACCAAATTTCTCAGGACCCTCTTTCTTCCTCGGCCATCCCTCTTTTTGGTCTGAGGTACAGATTGCTATGAAAATTTAATTTTTAAAGGAGAACTATGAGGTGAGTGACTTTCACTCAACCTCATAGTTCGAGCCGACCTGTGACAATGAAACTGTCACACGTTGGCTTAATAGATCGGGAAGTGAGCGAACACATACCGTCGCTCGCTCACTTCTCGA